TCGTCAGGAGATAAGGGACCTCTTAGTGTCCCTCCTGGGCATAATGCCCAATGGTAGCACAGCAGACCATGCAGCCAGCAGGCGCACCTGACCTACCAACAAGGAGGCAGGAGGAAGGGTCCCCACTCTGGAGAAGCCTCCAAAGCTCATGGTGCCAGGAAACTGAGGACAAATTCACTGACACGAAAGTGTGCCAACTTCAAAGACCTGCCTAGGTTGTTCCTAAGTTATCAGAAATATCCAAAATATTGATTAAAAAAAAAAAAAAAAACACTTGGTAATCAATGTAAGTAACGCTGTGAAATCAATATATCGGATTTAACAGAGGGAAAATTGTGAGTTAGCATTCTGGGATCTACAAACAAGCTATTTTTTAAGGAAGATAATTACTTAGCACCAATTTTTCTCTCTCTCTCTGGTAATTTTTCCTTTTCCTTCAAGCCCCTGGCTGTGATCAACGCAGTCAGAGCGCAGCTCAGCGGTGCTTTAATCAGTAACACAGCTGGGCAGGACAGGAGTGCAGTCACACACCACAGGACAAACAGCGCTCACACCAAAATGCAACTCTTCTCAGGGCCATCCTGACTCAGGGAACACAAAGGGCCCCACAGTCTCCTCCTGGGGTTGCTATGTGGCGCTCCAGGCCTGAGGGGCTTCACTCAAAGTGACGCAAGTGGTTGTACAGCGACTGGACGTAAGTGAAGACACACATGGGGTCCGGCTTGCGGCCCATCACCATCATATCCTCCACCTCAATGAGGCGCTCACAGTTGGCCAGTTTCCTGAAACACAGAAGCCCCATCAGAACAAAGGTCCCCACAATCAGCCAGCCCCACAGCTATCATCACCACCCCGAGACAGAACTCAGCCTGGAGCTGGAGGCTCCCAAGTGGCCTCTAACAGAGGATTTGGATCACCCCAGGAGAACCTTTGGGGTCACTCACTCTAAGACAGCATGTCCCAAACTCCCACCCACGTTCAGGAACCACCTATGCAACTCATATTTTGATGTAAGTAGACTCACGTCAGTTTTCAGGAAAATTAAATTTCACTTTGAAATTTCACTAAATTCTAAAAAAGTAACATATTAATTTAGTCTAACTTTTATTAGCACCAATTTCTCTCTTTAAAAATAAAAAAATTTAAATTTCACTAAAAAATGCAGTGTATATCAGCAGTATATGGAAAATCAGCATGAACTAGAAAAATGTACAGTAAGTCCTCATTTAACCTTATGGATAGGTTCTGTGTTTAGAGAAATGACGTATAACAAAACCAACTTTACCATAGGCTACTTGATATAAACAAGAGTTATGTTCCTACATCATCTCAACATTATAGCAAAACAATGATATTCAAGGACCTGCTGTAAAAAGAATAAAGCAAAAAATAAATTCACCCATATGCCTCCTAATACAGTGTTCCAGGGTTCCCAGTCTTTTTCCCCCCCATATCTATAAGTGCATGACTATCCGAGTTTCCACTCCAGCCCCATCCTTACTAGCTATATGACTTTGAGCAAGAGACTTAACTTCTCCAGGCCTCAGTTTCCCCATCTGAAATAAAAGCCACTTCACAGAGCAGTGTGAGGATTAATGAGCTAATCCATGCAAACAAGATGGAACAGTGCCTGGCTTAATAAATGCTGGAGATTATTATTGTCGCCGTTTTTATTATCGTGCCTCACTTTAAAAAGCAGAAGGGATCATGGAGAAAAAGAGGCTCAAATCTGAAATCTAGATAGCTGGGTTCAGATCCTGACTTTACCAGTTCCTTCACCTTTCTGTGCCATTTCCTTGGCAGAAAATCAGACTCCTGTCTCTGCTCCCCTTCCCAACAGCCCCTCCCCACATTGCTCGTTTTGGGGAGATTGTGTGTCTTCCTGTGCCTTGTACCCCAGAGCTTGTAAAGCAGTTCGCATGGTTCATGCAGCATTTTCTACCGGTCTCCACTGACTCCTGGGCTTGCATGCTCCAAAGACAAGGACCATGACATTAACATAGGGTTCTGTTTCATGGTGCTGGCCTGACACCAGGCCTCCTATCAGAAACCAAATGTCAAGGTGAAATGGAGACATCTGTCCCAGATCCCATCGCCACCTCCCCCTCAGTTTGGAGCAGGCGTCCTGTAAGAGAATCCAACAGCTTTGTGGAGTGGCAAATGGTTTGGCCCAAAGAACGGACACCCTTGCTCCCCAGGGCTCAGTGTTAAGGAAGTCGGCACTCTGACAAGGACAGGCATGCAAAGGTGCTTTGCCAGTGGACAAGGATTGAAAATCTGAGTTCTTCCAAGAATCATCCAGGGACCTGAGATTCACCTTCTTCAGCTATCACTTAGCATCTGGTGACTTCCTCCTCACCTACAGCACAGGGAGAGCACCTCCCTCCCTCCCAGGGCTGCTGTCAGAGGATCTCAGGTGTTTGAAAGCAGGCTCTGCACATGTGCTCAGGGGTATCACCACTGACAGCTGTGGCCTCAGCAGCCCCCTCTATTAAATGAGGGCAGCATTAGAACCCTGAACCTCAGCCTTGGAGGAGAACTGAAATATCCTTCAAACGCCCTCATCAGAAGGACCAAACACCTCTGTGAAGGCCCTGCCCTGGCGTGATCATCTGGAGCAGCCTTCACCACCACTCCCCCTTCTCAGGGAAGGGGCCTCTCATTTCTTTCAAGGGCAATTCAAATCCCTCTGCAAGTGGCACTAGCCATGACAAAGTTTTCTCTTAGTTTCTCATGCTCTTTTCCCTTTTGGTACTTTATACTATTGGTCTCGCAAGGCTAATTCCACCCTCCTCCCCCTACAAAAGAGCCCTTCTTCCCATGTTGGAGAATCTTCATATCCATGTCTTGCCCTGCAACTAAATATTCCTGGTTCCTTCTCTGCCCCAGAGGGTACCTGGGCCCCTGTCCACTGAGCTGGTTCTACTTTTTTTCTCACCTTCTTCACAGAGGGTACCCGGAATTGCTGGCATGTCCCAGGTATTGTCCAACCTGTGCAGGGAGAGCGAGCTGACCCCCTTCTTCATTCTAGGGGCTGCATTTACTCTCCTGGTAATGACAACCCTGCACGGGCAGTGAGTCTTAGAGATCAGGGTGGCAGTCAGGACTGGCGCTAAGGCCTCATCCTGGTGTCACCCTCTACTACCAGACAGGAGGCCATGGGCAAAGTGCTGGCTTCCCCAGCAAACAACCTGGGGGCTGAGCCGTATTCATCTGGTCCCCACGCCACCCCACTCACCACTACGGTAATGATAAGATTGCCAGAAGCCGCAGACACAGCTCATGAGACAGAGTATGAGAAAAAAAAATGATGATCAGCACTGACTTTTATAAAAATATTTCCATCTCAAATATGAGAACCAATTGCCTTTTAAATTTAAAAAAAAATGCTTTTGTAAAAATGATACGAGCGTGTTTTAAATAATTCAAACAACATGAAATAGTCCAAAAGAGAAAATACAGACCACTTCAACCGTCACCACAACACAGCAAGAACCAGAGTTAACATCTTTCTGCCTGCCAGGAATTTTAAGTGAATTTACTTAGCCCCACCTTGTTTGGGGTTAAAAAGGGCTTAGAGGGTTTTCTCCTACTCCAGTCTATTGTGATCTTCAGCCACCAGAAGGCTAGCCTGTTAGGGAGATGGAGGAGGAGTTTGAGGGGTTATTTTTACTTGTTTAAGCCTCCTCTAAGACTGGGATGCCAGGGCTGGGACTGCAGCCTCCTATTTGGTTTTAGACAGAGACACATGGGCACTACAAATAGCCTGGAAGCCCCTTCTGCTCAAGGTAACCCGAGAGCAGAGCACATTCCCCACAGGGCAATCAGGAGCCTGAGGCCGAATGTCTGGCTCCATGGGAGATGAGGGAGAAGGGTGCAGAGTGTAAAGTACCCATAAAAGGGGCTGGTCCTCCAGCCTTCCAAGCCTTGAACACCTGTCCGACAAGGGGAGCTCATTTTGCTGTCAACGCCGCATCTCTCACACAGATTAGGCCACAGGGAATATTTGGGACTGTAAATTACTGGGAGGAGGGGCAGCACAAGCCACTTTTACTCTACAGGTTCCTGATGCATCTCTGTGCTTTTAAGGCACTTGCTCCTAGAAGGGTCTGGAAACTTTTCTTTGCTAATGAGAGATGGACCCAGTGTTTGGCGGCTCCGTGCATGTCCTCCCTTCCTTTTCGAAGGCTGTGCCTTCACTGAAACTCAGACTCCTCTCCCCCTGCACTGCCTACTCCCAAACTGCCTTTCTGAGCACCATCCTGCTGCCTGCATGGCTCTTGGTGGCTTCTAATAGCCCTGTGTGTCTGCATGGCTTTGGCCCGCAAACCTAAGGAACATATGTAAAGACACGGGTAGCCAGTACCCTCAAGCAGATGTCCCTGTGCTTTCTTTCCAGCTTCTCTAACCAGCTTATTGTCCAAGTAACTGGGTGATCCAAGTTGCTGTCCTCCCAAGAGGCCTTGGACACACAGGCCCACCTCCCCAGCCCTCTCCCCTGAGTACCTGTGAGATAATCTCCCAGATGACTAATGAGGGGAGGCGCCTTCCCAGACTCTGAGCAAGCTCCCCGCCTAGGCCTGCTATGGGTGCCCCTCCCCAACCCCTCCGTCAGCAGAAAAACAAGAATTCATCTTAGGGGCCCCGCAGACCATTCTCCCCTCCTCAGTGGGGAGCAGGCGCAGGCCACAGGGAGGCAGGGCCAAGTTTTTTACCCCCACTGTTTGCTCTGGGGAGGCAAAACCTGGAGCAGCCTCCACCACCACTCCCCCGGGCTGGGAACAGAAGAAACATCTGTTTGTAGTCTGGAGGCTCTGTGAGCTCAAACCTCGTGCTGGGAAAGCAGAGCCTTGAATCTCTCTGGCTCTGGCTGCCAAGGGAAGCTGTGTTCCCTGAGAGCTGGGGCGCAGGGCTGCCACCCCGTGGCCCAGGGCCTCCCTCTCCCTCTACAATCCAGCCTGGTCCAGGGCTGAGAGTGACCAAGGCAACGAGGGCATGAGCTGGCACTGCCGGGCCCACTGGACTTGATGGAAAAGAACTCTGTAAGCCAAGTGTGGCCTCGCCCAGCCAGGGTGGGTCTCGGGGTACCCACATTAGAGCCCCAGCCCTGCAGACTCTGACAGTCTGATTTTTGACAGTCCCCATTTCTAGGCTTCAGGCAGCTGGGCCTCGTCCTGGGGAGGCACTCCTCCCCAGCATCGTGTGCTTGGCTCTACTTCACCATCGTCTGGATCCAGTTGCATAACACACTCCGTCCAAAGCTGTTTCTGCAATTAGGATGACAGCTAATCCCAAGCAGCCAAGAAAAAGAAGGCTTTTAAAGTATACAAGGAGTTCTTATGACCCCAAGGGGGCCGAGTCCAAGCGCGTCATCCGAGACAACACAACAGGGGCAATACTCATGTTCCAACAACTCGGGCCAAGTAGCTTGGAGCCAGGTCTCCATTCTGCCCCCAGAGCAAGAGCTGCTGCTCAGAGAGGGGAGGTTGCCTGGGCTCAAGGTGAGACCTATGATACCAAGTACAAGTCTCGTCACCTGCGGTTTTGACTCCTTCCTTGGCCAGGCTCGGGTGGGCGTGGGGGGCTGGGGTAAGGCTAGGAGGTTGGGCCGGGAATGGAGTCAGGAGGGCAGGCAAGACCTTGGGTGAGGGCTCCTCCAACCCGACAAGCACATGAGAGCACCTCCTGGACGCAGGCACTGAGACGCAGACAAGAAACAAAGGTGGTCAGGCACAGACGGATAGCAGAGGCTTATGCCACAGGCACAAAGGTGGGCAGGTGGGCAAGGAAAAAGGAGAAATGTTCCCTCCAGGAAACTTAGCTTTGAGGAGGCTTTCCTTCCCTCTGACCTTCCTCCCCTTATCTACATGAAGCTTAGCATCAGGCAGCCCTGAACACTCTCGTCTGTGCCCCTTGCTGCCTGGGGCCCCGATGGACCATAACAATGGCTCCCCTGTCCTCTGCCTTCTGCTTGTGTTCAGCCAATAGAATGCCCTAGAGTGAGGGCAGAAGAAAGGTGAGGGCAGAGCATTCATCCCCACGGCTTCCTCCCTGCCAGGTCACTGCGAGCTGGTGACTCCACTGCCCAAAGCACAGTTCCTATCAGCCGACCCTCTGCACACAGTTCCTGTAACTTCAGGCTGATTAGCTTGAGGGTACTGCACTGTGCCTGGCTCGATTCCCTCATTCCTGTCTACACCTTTGTAAGGAGTCCCTCGCTGACTCAATATGATGCACCCCGCCAGAGTCCTGGCAGATACAGCTCACCCGCCTTGAGCTTCTGATGCTCTGGGGGTTGCCCTCAGATAGCAACCAAATCCCCAGCTGGCTTCCCAAGCACCTTCTGATCCCAGAATTACTCCCACCTAATCTTCTCTCTAAGAGTAGGTTTTAAGGAGGTAAGCAATTTCATATGAAACACTAGAACAATGTTTAGAGAAGCAAAATCTTACTGGAGATATTTTAATGTCCCCCAGGCAGATATATTCATATATATTTAATTTCCTACTGGTGAGCAGCTGTGGCTTACCCAGGCAACTGCATCTATCCACTAGCCCAGGGAGGACAGACTCAGTGCTCTTGGGTCCCTATCACACTGCCCATCATGCCCTGTCTGTAGCTGGTCTCCCAGACTACCCACTAAAGTCCAGGCACCCAGCAAAGAGAGTAGGTGCACCAAAAAGAGAACCCAGCTCCACCACCCAGTGCTGGGGGACCCAGGCAGATCCCTGCCTCCAGGCCTCTGTCACTCCGTCTATACAGCAGGCAGACAGACTGGATGGACGCAAGGTCCTCAGCTCTGCGATGGCTGTCCCCTATCCTGCCCGCCTCTGTGCTCCACCTGGGTAGAAGTCGGGCTCAATAATTGTGGGGGCTGGTAGCCAGAGGGGCCGCCATACTCACTCAGCCATGGTGAAGGCCAGCTCGAAATTCTTCTTCCGCTGCGTGGGGCTCAGGGCGCTATAGTCAAAGGCATCGGGGAAGAATGAGTGCACCAGGGCACAGAATGCCATCCCATCGCTCCAGCTGGAGGAGAAGTTCTGCAGGTCCACATGCTGCGAGCAAGGCAAGGTGCACCAAGGGAGGTGAGGGGGTACGGCCCCCACCACCGCTCCCCACCCAATTCAACCTCACAAGCAGATTCTACTAGCCCCTTCCAAGGTCCACCATCCACCCAGCTCAGCCACAAGCTGCAGTTACCAGACCTCACCGCTTAAGGTGCACAGACCAGTCTGCTCAGGTCCAGATACAGGACTCCTGGGATTTCTAAGCATGGGCTACACGTGGCTAGGGCCCAACTGGGGAGACACAATTTCTCTATCTCTTACCCTCCACCCCAGCTTGAGGTTCTTGCCCTGGCCAGGGTAACAAGAGGGGGAGTAACGATACTCAGTTAAGCCTCTGGCCGGGGTTCCCAGGGGCTGGGGCGGGACCCTGGGCTTACCTGGTAGCCAAGAGTCTTGTTGCGGCACCACTCTAGCAAGATCTGCTTGATGCTGCTGGCGCTGGCCACCCCAAAGCTCTGGGACCGCTTCAGCTTGCCCCGGGCCTCACCTTTCCCCCTGCGGAGAGAGTGCAGGCCTGCTGTGGGGGCCACCCTTTAGCTGCCATCTCCTCTGAGAGGCAGGGGAGTCCTCAGCCATTCCCATACCACCCAGAAGATGCTCCCACCTGCTCTGCTCACCCAGGGAAGCCACTCTGTCAGCATGCATATGAACCCCTCAAGCCCATATCCAGGGTATGAGCCTCGCGTATCAGCTACACAGCCACTCTTGATGGTATCCGCTAGACCAATGCCCCCACTTCCAGCTTCCAAGTGCCCTGATTCTTGCACTTGGAATCAGGGGTCACCTTGGGACAGAGGACTTAAGCCTGCATGGCCCTGTGCCCCTGCTCTCTGCTTGGAGCCCCCTGCTCCCTATCCTGCCCCTCCTCAGAAGCCTCCCTCTGAGACTGCCCGTGCTGATGGGTCTCTCCTCTTAGCCTAGAAGGATGGTGTCCTCCTCTGGGCCCAAAGGACATCCCCTAACAGCTGAGAAGAGGTTTTCTGGGCCAGTGGGTCACTCCCTGGGTCTGTCTCCCTCACTAGAGTTGAAGCCTCAAGAGCCAGTAATGGGTCTTTTCACTGTCACAGGCCTGGGAGGCCTCTTGTAAGCAACAGGTGTCATCACCATGCCCTGACAGGGGGGCCAGATAAATGTTCAAGAGTGGATCCCATCTCTAATGGGTGGGAATGGACTGGGAGGCACTTGGTCCTGTGTGTCTCTTTCCAGCTCTGCCAGGAATCCCAATGAACTGCCCTTCTGGTCTTCTGATCACACCCAAAAACCAAAGGGGCTACAATCCATGCGGCAGTGCGGGCAGCCCTGTGGGCCCTCTGAGAATGGGGGAGAGAGGAGGGCTCTCATAAGGTCTTGCCTAGCTCCCTGACCCCCGGCCTGCCTGTGGCCCAGCCCTGACCTTGCGTCTTGCCTGAGAAGTCACATCTTGAGGAAGGACCCCTGGGGAGTAGCACAGGGCCAGTTTTGCTGTGCTGTGCCTTCCTGACCCAATTCCGGGTCGGGTTCTACTCTGGAGACCTGGGTGAGGTCTGGGGACTAGTGTCCATACTTGCCCACTGTATCCTGTTCCCACTTCTCAAACAAGGCCTTCCGGGACTGCGCACTCGACGTGCGGGGCAGCGTCTGCGATCTCACCAGCTCCCGGCGGCGCTCCCCCTGGCGATGGGCCGGAGCGGTGGCTGGTGGCTGTGAGGATGGGGGTGACTGGGACGGCGTCACCAGAGCTGGGCTGAGGAGAGAACTGTGGAGTCAGGAACAGAGGTCCAGCCATCACTAGCTCACACAGGCCCCAGGCTGGTCCCCCCAACTAGGTGAAGTGAGGCAGAAATGGGGGCTATGGCGGCAGGCAGAAAGCAAGCACTACTTGCTCCAGTCTCTGACCGGTTAGGCAGGTTTTCTGAACTGAGCTGCTGTCTGAAGCAGGCCTGACCAGCACACCCAGCTCGGGGAGGGGGAATGGGCCCCCTTACCTAGGTGAGGGTGTCAGTTCCCCGGGGCAGGGAGGGGGCATCCTCCTAGGCAGGAGGTTCACTCAGAAGCAGTCCCACCAAGACCAGACTCCCCTCCTCCACTACACTAGATAAGACCCCATTTGTTTCACCCCCTGGAACAGTTTGCCAGAAAGTCACAATTCTTTTATTATTAAAAGAAAAAAGAAAGCCAAGCCAGTCTCCCATTCCCACTCCCAGCTCCAGTCACAGTCCAGTTGGCCTGAGAGAACATGGGGACATCATAGGCCAGGAGGAGGCCCATACCACAGGGAAGCCCCTGCACGCCTGCCCCAGCCCACGGCTCTTCAGGTACTTCCACAGTCCATGGGCAGGAAGCACCTCAGCTCTGAGGGATCCCAGCCAGGATGGATGGATGAAGAGGACAGTGGGAAAGCCCCCTAGTCTCCTTCCTCCAGAGGGACTGACAGACTTGCTTTCAGGGGTCCACAGAGAGACCAGCCTATAGCCATATTTCTCCAAACAAAACTCTAATGGGTGAATTTGGAGCATGACAGTGCTCCAAATGAGGAGCCCTACTGCCTCATTTTCCCTGCTCCAATCCTATCCAACAACCCTCTAGAGGCACCAAGCCAAGGAACATGCCTCCTCCTGGGATCAGCACAGGGAACTCCCTGCAGATGGCCTAGGCACCTTGGGTCCAAAGCAAAGCCCAGATGACTCCTAGGAAGCAATGACCCATGGGAACACGGGCCCTGACTCACCTGTCATTGTTCCTGCCTCCTGCCACTGCCCCATAGCCAGAGCCCAATGAAGACCGTGAGAGAGAAGAATTCTTCTCTGTGGGACAAAGGGAGAGAGAGAAATAACAAGCCCTGTCTCAGGGAGGGCCAGCCTCTGCCTGCCTTCCTCCTCTGACCCAGCCCTGCACCCTCTTCCCAGCATCACTCCACTGACAGGCAGGACCCCGGGCTAAGCTGGCCCCACCTCAGCCAACAGTTGTAGAGAAAGGAGACTGGGAACATAAAAGAGGTCTTTTAAAGTGTCCCCACCTGCTTTTGAGACCCTAGGGCCCAGGGCCTCCTGTGCTACGCATCCAGAAAACACTCTGTTCCCAAACCCTCATTTTAGAAGCCCATACAGCCCCACCCCAGGTCTACCACTGACAGGCCTGGGGGCAGGGGGGACTATGCCAAAAAGTGCAGAGTAAGAGGCCACCTTTTAACCACACCCTCTACCTGTAATAAAAGACATGTCTGTCACTCATGAAGGGTAATGCTATTTCATGACATCTCTGGGAAGAGAGTCAGGAAGGACGGGCCCCATTGGATAGAGTAGACCGACTAGAGAAAGGAGTCACAGTGACAGATAGAGGGGACGCTGAGGCTTGGCCCCAGGTTTTCTGAGTCTCTTGCTAACCCCCAAGGCCTTGCTCCTACCACTAGGACTGGGAGTCCAGGGTGTGGTGGCCTCGCTGGGGCTCGGGCTGAGGACGGTGGCAGACGTGGGCGAGAGAGCCGTGGCTGAGGTCTCCCCAGAGAACCTCTCAGAGACGCGTGTGATGGCTGTGACTGGCTGGTGGGGCAGCCGCAAGGAGAGGCTCACAGGGCGAGGTCTAGGGGGTTCAGGTGCTGGGAAGGTTTGAGCGGCCTCAGGGGGTCCATCACCTGGACCTGGAACATGTGACCAGTGGAAGGGATAGATGTCAGCCATGGTATACCACAGGAGGACTCCAGCCTCCCCGAATCCTCCTCCCAGCTCCTCTAAGAAGGCCTCCTTGACCACTTCAGCCTCCCTGACCTCTGCTAATAGGGACTTCCCACTGCTCCAACCAGAGCTGATAATAGCTCCAACTTCCCCTCACTGCCAGATCAATGAAAACTAGTTGGCTTGGCAGTCTACTCTCTACTCGGCTCAGTGCTTGGACAATTCCTCAGCCCCTGCTTGCATTCCTCCAGAAAAGGGAAGCTCATCACCTTCTAAGATCTCCCATTTTCCTGTGTTGAAAAAGTCTACTGCACACAGAATGAGGCTGCTCTCCTGGTGGCTTCTCCATGTGTTAGGGTTCAGGCTCAAGTCCCCCCTCCCAGCCAAAAGATGGCCTGGCACAAGTGCATGACCACCAAGGCCCTGACCCCCAAAGTTAGCCATCTACCCCTCCTCTGTGGTCGGCCCCTACCTGCCCCTGGTTGGTGTCCATTCTCAGTGATGCACGAGTTTAAGGTCCTTTTCATCTCCGACTCAATGAATTCATCATGATGATCCACACTCTACAGAGACAAAAACACCATGGAGACCCAGTCAGCCAGGGCCTGCTGCCTACTCCCAAAATTGCTCCCCAAGCCCCTCCTTGTTCTGGCAGGACAAACACTCAGGTATGAGAGGGACAGCCCCCAGGATATACTGTGATGGGCCAAGGATACACATCAAGCAGGGGTGGACTCAGCCCCAGCTGCTGAGAACCTGAAATCTTGCAAGGCAAATGCCTCCACTGGGCTCATACAGAGCCCCAAAATGCTAGGGACAAAGGTCAAGGCAGAGGGTTCCAAAGGAATGTTCAAGGCAGCCCCATTCATCGCCCCAGGTTTGACCAGATGACCAGGGTCAGCTCACTCCAGCTCACTCCAGGTGGGCAGGCCGGCGTGGCTGAGCAGCTAAAATCCAGAGACATACATAAGGTTCTTTTGAGCCAATGATGGGTGCTGGAGCCCTCATGCTGAGGCCTTTTCATTGGTTGCAGTGTTACGAGATTTGCCAGGATGTCCAGAGCACAGGGGCCTTATTAGGTCCATGTGGCCCCTCCATCCACTCTAGACTGCAGCAGTGGTAGAGGGGTGCAGAGAGAGCCAAGACCAAGAACCAGTGGGGGATCCTGGCATCTTGACTGTGACACCAACCAGCAGGTGACCTGAGTCAGGTCGTGCCCCCTCTGGGTCTCAGTTTCTTTGTTTCAGATATGGAACAGGCTATGCAAGTGCCATCTGAGCATCTACCAAGTGTCAGGCTCTTTTTCTGGGCATGCCACTTATACCAACTTGCTTCTGTCCTCCCAGGTAGGTGCTACCAGCCCATCTTACAGGTGGAACTCGAGAGCTCAGAGAGGGGATGTGCACAGTCCAAGGTTACACAGTGAGAAAGAATCACAATTCGTGGCCAGGAGGGACATTCCTCTCAACCATGGTCCTGCCCTTCTCACTGTGGGGGAGGAAGAGAGGGCTCAGAGTGTCTGAAGGCTGCTGGAGTCTGCTGGCTAGAGGGGGGACTAAGGCAGACCTCTACCGCGGGTTCTACTAAAAACCTACAACGGATGGCCTGAGAGGTTGACTGTACCTCTCCCTAGATGCCTCCAGGCTGGCCCCCTTGTCTATAAGGTTCCAAGGTGACAAAAGCCCATCTCTGGTCCCAGATGGCTCAGCTACTCCTTCTACAAAAGGTGGCCACCCTGCCATGGAAGAATTAGTCTGGTGGGAAAACCAGGACCTCGAGCCAATGGCACCAAGGCAGCATGAGGGTTTGTGCCTAAGACAGACTTCATCCAGCCCAGGGGGTCAGTGATGCCTGAGCCAAGTTTAGAGTAAGCCAGGTGGACAAGGAGGAAAGGCCATTCAAAGCAAAGTGACTAGTACCTGCAAAAGCTGAGACATCAAGGTACAAAGCATTCTGATCCAGTGGCTACAGAAGCACCGCGCAGCCCAAGATTCCAGACCCGAGAACTTGGACTTAACTCCTTGCACAAAAAAGAGTTGAAGGTCATCAGCTCTGTGTTTTAGGAACATCCTTCAGAAGGCAGCAAGAGTGTGGCATGGGAAGGGGAACCCAGATGGCCAGCTACCTCACTAGTCCCAGGTGGGATCGTGGGGTGGGGAGATGGGGCAGTGGGAAAGCGAAGGGCAAGAAGGACTCAAGAGTTTTGGGGAGAGTGAGTGGACGTGGAGGGAGAGGCAGATGCCACGGCGGCTTTTCCAAGCCTGGGCTTCAGGCCTGAGTGACATGGCTAGGAAGGGAGAGGGTGCTGGGGGGAAACAACTACTTCAGTTTGAGACATGACTAGGGTAAGGTGCCCTGGGGCATCGGGGAGTTGAGGCCAGGAGGTAGCTGGATATTTGATGTGAAGTATCGGAGGAAAGACAGACAAACGATGGAGAAACAGGAATCTTGTATCCAGAGCACAACAGAGGAAGAGCCGCCTCAGGGTCGACAGGGCCGGGGATAAAGCACCGCATTTGAAGAGCGGAAGTGGCATCTACAGATGAGAATGAGAAAGGGGCAGCCAGGCAGGTAGGTAGAAAACCAGAAAAATGTTGAGAAAAACAAGTAGAAGTATATCAAGAAGGCAAGTATGTCAGCAGCATCCAAAGGTAGCCTCAGGTCACGGAAAAGGTCAAGATGAGATCTAAAAAGTATCCATTGGGTTCAGCGAAAAAGAGGCTACAGTTTAGGAACTGAATCAGCGGCAGGGGTATGAGAGAGGAGGTGACCTAGGGGAGAAGCTGAGGAGAAATGGAGACCACACAGGAACTTTAGCCATGAGGAGAGAGGAGGGAAGGGGTTTAACCCCCGATGGAAGGAGTAGGACAACATTTACAGGTTGAGAGAAAGGATCCAGCAGGGTGAGGGGACCTTCTGTAGGGGACCTTCGGTGGGGTGGGCTGGGGTGGGGTGGGATCTCTGGAGAAGAGACAGAGGACAAGAATCAGAACCTAGCCTTGGAGAGGTGACCCCTCAACTTCTGATTCAGGAGGACAGAAGGGGAGGGGCCAGGCCTACTCACAGGAACAATGCAGAAGGGTGGGGGGCATTTCCAGGTACCCCAGAGTGGGGAGGGTATCCCAAGAGCCACACCTTGCTAGCTTGAAGCCAACTCAGCAGTGGGTGGAGAAACAGCCAGTCCATCCTGAACCCCAGACCCCATCTGTCACCAAGTTCCACCCAGCTCTGGGGTCTCCATGTCCCCCCTACCCACCTTGCTCTGGTCCAACAGGTTCCACAGGTCCAGGCCTGGAGGGACAAGCTGATGGTGAAACCATTTTCCCAGGAATGTGGGTCTCTAGGAGTGGCGGGGGTCGGGGGGCACAGACATCTGCCCCTGCACGTTGCAGGCCCACAAACCCCATGATGCCCCAGGGGACCAGACACCACAACCAGATAGGAAGAAGGTTCTGGACCAGCAGGATTCCTGCCAAGGAGTCTCCACAAAGCAGAGGGGAAAGGGATTGAAAAGACTCATGCTAGGAGGCTGGACTCCAGCTTGGTGGGGGCTGAGCCCTAACTCCCAGGTTTTCCTGCCCCTCGCTCACCCATCCCCGAGACTGGAGCCACTCCTCACCCAAGGAGGGCTCTTCTCACACCTCATGCCGAGGGGCTACTCAGGGACCACCTTTCCCTGTGGAAGGGTCACTCCTGACCTGACACCTAGACTAAAGGCACTAGCAGAGTCAAGGCTTGGGACTTGGGTCTCGTACCCCAACCCACGGCTCTGCCCACAAAGCACTCCAGCCTTCCAGTGGGCAGAGAGGACAATTCAAGACAAACCTGTCTTCCAGGACCTGGGGCAGGGTGAGCCCTGGCTCCACTGTCTTAGCCAGATGAAGGAGAGGTAAAGGGGTGTGAGTGGTATAACCACCTCAGCAGAAGCTGAGCCCTTAAACCAAGGAGCCAGGCTAGGCTAGAACAAGCACTTCTCCGGGTCCCAAGCCATCCATGGAGGCCTCAGGCCCTGTCTCCCAAAGGTCTTCCTTTGGTGGAGGGCAGCCTGCTTGGCCCCCAGGGAAGGGAACCAGGGAGGGACCTCTGTGTCCTGGGTACAAATCTGGAGAGCCTTGGGGACAGGAACTGGTCCTGTTGAGCTGGCTCTAGCACCCCCAAGATCCCCATCTGGGCTTCATTTTAAGAAGAGGAGTCTCCCTGTGAGGGAGCCCGGGCCTAGGAATGTTAGGGGTAAAGCCAGGGGATGCAATAAGCCTGATTTCAGGGACCTTCTCACTGGGGAAGTTTTGAAACATTTTTGTGAGGGCAGGAATAATATTGAAGCTCTTGGTGCTGGCTGACTCCACACGGGTTGATGTGTGGACACAGGAGCCCACGCATGTGCCCAGCACAGTCCATGTTTGGCCAGAACCCCCACCCTAAGCCAGTTAACAGGATGTCCCACCCTCCTCCTCACTCACACCATGGTTTTAAAGACTTAATTCAAACTTCGCCCCAAAGCATTTAACTCCGTTATCACACAGTATGTCTGGGAAAGGAAGGCAGATAAGGCGAGTCTGGTTTCTTTCAGGGCCAGGGCTGACACCGCTCTCCTGGCAGTAGTTCCTAAGGGACTCCACTGCCTCAGTCATGGGGACCCAGCAGCTCCAGCTCAGCCAAGAGGACATTTCTAAGGAACAACTATGGCCCAGCCTCCAGGACCTGGCCTGGCCTCAGGTTGCTGTCATTCCCTGCAGGCCCCCAACCAGCTCCCCCAGAGAGCTGTGGCTCTGTGGACACTTCTGTGAATGGACTGGGCTGATGTCACTGTTGTAACTACCCAGTTTGCTCAGTCTGAGAGGCCAGACTGGACTGTGCCAATCCCTCTTGGTTTAGATACAAGGACACTGAGACCTAGCTGGGAGGAGATGCCCACAAGGCCACACTGCAAATGTGCCAAAACCAGCTTCTGCCTGTTCCAGGGCCTCCTTCAGGGAGTCTTCCCTGGTTACTCCCACCCCACTGCCCTGCTCTCTCCCTCCTCCCAAGCCTCCTTGGATACTTCTGTCTCCTCACTATCTGGCTCCTATTGAACCTGTCTTAGCCAGATGAGCAAGGTCCTTAGCAAGGTTAAGGTTTGTGTACTCAAAAGTGGATTACTTGATCAACCCTTTCTGCATTGAGTTCAGGGCACATCAATATACTGAGTATGACCCACCACCAACTCCCGCAGCAGGACACAAAAGGGTCTCCCAATACCATTGCTTGTTACAGAAGGGTGGTGTAACACCAGCCTCCACAATGCCTGACCACAGCCACCACTGGCTAACATGTGTAGACAAGACCCTTACACCCAGACCCCAGCTCTGTGACACAGACTTGGGGGTAGGAGAGGCCAGAGAAGTAGCAGCCCTGGCACCCAACCATGACCCTGTCCAGTCTTGCCCTAGAGCCCTGATTCCTTGTTCATGACCCAGCATCCGATCACACACTACTGGTCACAGCACATGAGGAGGAACATGTGGATGGTTCCACATACTCCCAGAAACTTGCTGGGAGCCTGTGTCAGCACTCCTGAGAAGTGGGATGCAAGATAAGTGGGGACCTGTGCTTCTAGTCCTGTGGGGGAAGCTGCCTCAGGCCCAGGAAGCCATGCTAAGGAAGCTGCGAAGCCTTTGACCCCACTGGAGACCCTGACCATCCTCCGCCCACGGTGCTCAGCTGTGCTTGCTATTCCACCTCACCCCAGGCCTTTCTTAAGTCCCAACCGTGCCTCTATCCTTTTTCACCAGCCACTACAGCATCCCTGCTGACCTCCAACCTCTTCTTCCCTCTCTCCATTTCTAAGAGTGGGCTCTTCGGGGCCTCCTAGCTCCCTGACAGCTCCTCTGCCTCTGCCCAGGGCTTCTATCCACCCTCTCCGTTGCACAACTGCCCTTAAGACTTCATCCACTCTAGGGCTTCAACTACCAGCTCTGCCCTGTTATCTCATTAATCTTAGGCCTTGACAACTCTTGGCACACTAGATCCGTGACTCCACCTACTCTGGGACGGCTTCACTCTGGATGTCCCACAGACCCTCATGCTCAGCACAACTCAAATGGAACTTGGCATCTTCACCCGATCTGTGACCCAGTAGTCCCCCACGCAGGGCTCTTCTCTCTGCCTCCCTGCTCATATCCAAAGACTATCTTGCCCTGCTGATTCCCCCTCTAAGATCCCTCTCCAAGGTAGCCCCAGCTCTCCATCCGCCCACCACTGCCCCAGCTATGACCATCCTCTCTCCTTGGACCATCACAATTAAGTTAGTCCATCTCCAGCCACCCTCCAACTTGCCGCGATCTATCTTTGAGGGAGCTTGCCAGATACAAGACCCTGTCCCCCTCCCCCCACCCAGTGCCCCTCACCCACCACCCCCATAACCAAGAGGAACAGCTCACTTCAAGTGATCATGGTGAACTTCTATTGAAACAGATGACTGGAGAGAATCCTCTCACATACATATGTGTATACGTGTACATATATTCATATTCATATACATATGACTCTGGGAGTATTTTTGTTAAAACTTGGTCAGATGCTTCCATGAGCAGACTTAGCAAATGAGTGTTCAAATAAAACTTCGGAAATGGCTGATGACACAGTTTATTAGTACACGTGAGCTGACAGCGGTGACTTTATACCATGGAGATTCAGTGTGTCATGCTCATAGGACAGAATTAAGTGTGTCCCTGCAGACACTTCACACAGAGCACTAGAACACCCGGGGGCTCTGTCACCAGCACATATTTAAGTACCTCTCACACTCCAGGAACAAAGCCCAGGTCCCTTGCCCAGCATCCATGGGTCCTTCACAACTTGCTCATCCGCTCAAAGCCACCAGGCTCCTCTCTGGTGGCTTTAGTCCTTTTAGTCTTTCTAAGGTTGCATGCACAGTCCCCCACAGCACCCCCAACTACACTAGCAGCAACAAGCCCTAGGCCTTCAGCAAAAAGCCTTCCTAGGACACCCACTGGGAAGGGATGATAGTATTTGGAGCAGAACAACTGCTCTGGCTGCCTGCACTGTGGGTACTGCTTCATCTAGGGCCATCTCCCACCCAGAATGAAACCTCCAAGGGCAAGGGCTAATCTGATTCCCCTCCCTCTGGTCCCCTGAGGTGCAGCCCAGCCTGCGCAGGAGACTTGTATGCCTGATAGATTGAACCAGGAGGGGCAGCAGGTGCAGACTATCCAGAGCCTGGAAACCCAATCTCAGAGCACATACCTGAGCAGAGTGGAAAATCTCACCTAAAGGCCACACCATGGAAACATTCTAACTAGCCACTCCAAGAGGCTCCATGCTCAGGAAAGTGCCTGGTCCACACTGGCCTCTGCCCCACCCCCACGGAGGTGTGGGCCTCTGGCCAGTCACTGAGCCCAGGAATCTAGAGACTGCTTAAGGCTGGTTTTTCTCTCTCTCTTCACAGTATGGGATTTGCCCCCTGCAATGAGAGTGCCCAAACACGGCTGAGCTGGGAACAGATTGCGTCCTCCTCCCCGCACCCCCCTCCCCCACCCCACACACAGGGGCTTAAGTTCTCAATCTGGGTTAATCGGTAACGGAACCGTCAGGCCTCAGTGAAGCGGCAACGTGGGGGGTGCGTGAATGGAGGTAGGGGAATAGGGGGTGCTGACCATTCCAACACGTCAGCGATGCCCCACGCCAGCGATGCCCCGGGTGATTTGGAGCAGGACCTCAGCGCCCAAGCCCTTAAAGTCATAGGACAGCGGGGAGAGGGAGACAGAATTCGGAGCAAACAGAGTCCGGCTCCAAAGAAGGGAGGGGGTCCGAGACAGGTGCAGCAAACAGAGTCCGGCTCCGAAGAAGGGAGGGAGTCCGAGACAGGTGCAGCAGGCCGGCTAAGACAGTGCTTTTCTGCCTTCTCCAACTCTGAAGTGGCGGCCGGACTCCCATCACCAAGTCCTAGAGGCCGGTGGAGGCACAGCCCCCAACCCAGCAGATGCAAGCACTCGGGGCGGCGGGGGATGGGCGCGAGGCGGGGAGGCGACACCTGCCGAGCCCCACTTCCCCAGAGCACGCGCTGGAAGCTCACCTGGCTGCGGCCGGACAGCGAGAAGGTGGTGTGGCTGGCGAAGCGTGCGGAGCCCAGGCGGGGCGCGCGGTCCGGGACACCAGGCGCGGGCGGAGGGCTGGGCGTGCCTGGTGTGCCGGGCGCAGGGGACAGCCCT